GGTCTATTTAAGATTGCTAATGCTTTCTGGTTGAGTCTAGGAAGGTGGCATGCTTCCAGGTATTGATCCATTTCCTTCAGATTTTCATATTTCTGGGAATAGAGATTTTTGTAGTAATCATTAGGGATTTTTTGAATTTCTGAAGTGTCTGATTTCTCCTTTATCATTTCTGATAGATGATATTAGAGATTTTGCTTTTCTATTTCTGGTTAGGTTGGCCAGAGGTTTATAAATTTTGTTAATTTTTTCAAAAAACCAACTTTTTGTTTCATTGATCTTCTGAATGATCCTTTTGTTTTCAATTGCATTTAATTCTGCCCTAATTCTGGTTATTTCTTTTATTCTGTTGGGTTTGGGGTTGGAATGTTCTTCCTTTTCCATTTGTCTGAGATGATGCACTAAGTTGTTGGCCTCCTCTCTTTCTGTTTTCTTGATGAAGGCTTCCAATGCTATAAATTTCCCTCTTAGGACTGCCTCTTAAGTATCCCACAGGTTTTGATAATTTGTGTCTTCATTTTCATTTAGTTCCAAAAATTTGGTGATTTCCTTCTTAATCTCGTCTTTGACCCAACTATCATTCAGCCTAAGATTATTTAGCTTCCATGACTTTGTTTGAGTATGGAGATTCTCATTGCTGTTGAGTTCAACTTTTATTCCATGGTGGTCCAAAAAGATACAAGGAATACTTTCTATACTTTTAAATTTACTTAGGTTAGTTAAACTTGTGTCCTAGGATATGGTCTATTTTGGAGGATGACCCATAGGCTGATGAAAAGAATATATATTCAGTTTTATTAGGGTGAAATGTTTTGTAGAGGTCTGTAAAGTCCATTTGTTCTAGGGTCCGGTTTAAGTCTAATATTTCTTTGTTTAGTTTCTTCTTGGAGGATCTATCCAAAACTGTCAAAGGAGTCTTAAAATCTCCAACTATTATAGTGCAAGAAGATATCAAGTTGTTCATATCCATTGGGGTCTGCTTTATGAATTGAGGAGCATTCTGGTAGGGTGCGTAAAATGTTAATCATCGAAATCTCTTCATGTTGGGTGTTTCCCTTGACAAATATGTAGTGACCTTCCTTATCTTTCTTTATCTTTGTTGGTTTAAAGCCAATTATATCTGCTACTAAAATTGCAACCCTTGCTTTTTTCTGGTTTCCATTTGCTTGTATTATACAAGTCCATCCCTTCACCCTGAGTCTATTTTTGTCCTTTAAAGTAAGGTGAGATTCTTGTATACAGGAGATGTCTGGTCTGAGTTTATCCAGTCAGCCAGCCTGTGCCTCTTTAGAGGACAATTTAAACCATTCACATTCATTGAGAGAATTGATAAGCCTGGTTGTGTTTTGGGTGTCATGTTTTTCGGATGTCCAGTAGACATTTTTAATCTTTTCACCACTGTGGAAGTTGGGTTTTGTTCAAAAAAATTCTGGGTGAGTTTACATTGGAGGTAGAGCATTGTGCTGGTCATTGTGGAGGATGGGTCTGAGAATATCCAGGAGAACTGGTTTAGTTATAGCAAAATTCTATGTCATTAAAGTATTTGATTTCTCCATCACAATTGAAACTCAGTTTAGCTGGATAGAGGATCCTGGGCTGGAAATTGTTTTGTCTTAAGAGATTGAAGATTGATGGCCATCTTCTTCTGGTTTGAAACGTTTCAGCTGAGAGATCTGCAGTAATTCTAATATTTCTCCCTTTGTAGGTGATGCTTTTCTTATGTCTGGCTGCTTGCAGGATTTTCTTCTTCATCTTCACTTTGGCAAAGTTAATCACAATGTGTCTAGAAGATGCTTTATTTGGATTGAGTCTTGCTGGGTTTCTGAAACTTTCTGCTATCTGAAGTTTGGAATCTCTTGCAATGTTTGGGAAATTCTCCTCCAACATCTCTTGGAGTAGAGCATCTGTACCTTTAGGGCCATCCTCTTCTCCTTTCAGAATTACTATAAGATGAATGTTTGATCGTTTGGAGTGATCCCACAACTCTCTCAAGGAATGATCAGTTTTTGCTCTCCATTTGTCTGCCTCATTGAGTGTTTGGGAACATTCAAAAGCTTTGTCCTCAGTTTCAGAGATCCTTTCTTCTGCCTGGTCAACTCTATTAGTGAGGGATTCCACTGTATTTTCGAGCTCCTCAACTAACTTTTTCATTTCCTTGAACTCTGCTATCTCTTTTCTCATTATGTCTATATCTTGGGTGACTTGAGACAACTTTAGAACTACTCTTTGGAATTCAATTTCCATCTTTTCTTCCATTCTATTTATCTTATTTGCAATCCATATTCTGAATTCAGTTTCTGACATGCATTTTAAACATTAGCACTTTGTCTGAAAGGAAAGTCATTTTGAGTAATCTTTACTTTTCTTCACTAGCCTAAGAAGGTTGGCAAGGTTAACCATAAATCTGTTTAGTCAATAAAAACTTTTAAAAATTAAAAAGTAATGATATGCTGTAATTTCTTACTTGTTTTTCCTTATCTCATTTCCTCTAAATTTTTCATTACCTTATATTTTAAATACAGGAAAATATGACTCATGGTTGGCATGTAATAACTGTTTATTGAGTAAGAGGAAAGAAATAAATATTTTAATTGTGACAAGAGGCAACACCACCTCTGTGGAGGCTGAATAAACCTTGATTAAATTACTCAGGTCAGAAAACATTCTGCTGCCTACTTCTCTTATGCAGAGCTACTGCAATTCATTTCTTGCGATAAAAGAAGAGTTAAAGTAATTAAATAACAAGGGGAAGCTGAACAATTTTAAGCATCTTTTATTTACAATTAGGATTTTAGTGTTAAAGGGACCTTAGAGATGAAATAGCTCAACCTCCTTAATTTACAGAGGAGGAAACCAAGACCCTGGGAGTTTAAACTGGGCTGGAGGAGGAGTTCATTTATCTGCATTAGAGTTAGCTCTTAAAGGGTCTTGTCCCAGGGTATTTGTTTATCTGCACACTTCCCTCCATTCCAGGGCACTTATGTATCCACAAAAAATAGATGCCAAGATAAAGCCTGTGGCTGAGAACATGGGCCTTTGGGTTGGAGAAACCTGACCACGCTCCCCACCACTAAATGTGTCACTTTCTACTGATTGTCCAAAGTACTAGTCACTTTACTTAATCTTTCTGGGCCTCAGTTTCCTTACCTATAAAGAGGGGATGACAAACACTTGCATATTCAAGATAGAAACAACCAATCTTCATAGTTTATTATTGATGGTTGGTGGGATGATATAGTTAAAGGATTACCACCAGCCAGTGCACACTAAGCTAACAGGTGCCCATCAACTATGATTATACTACAAATTAGAAGTGGGAAAAGGTACAGGCAAAGATAGTCCTGTATTTTGCTAACAATAGGTCACAGATTTGGCTCTATGCTTGTTTACAGCCAACACTGAGGTAAAAACATGATCGATCACACTGTTAATAGGAAACTTTGGTGTATTGATTACATGCATCTGGCTATCCAGGACCACCTCCTTCATTCCTATCTTTGAATTTTCAAACAAAGTCTCCATTTATCAGACAGAGCAGTGTGGGTTTTAGAGACATTGTGATACAGAAAGGGCCACCAGGTTTACCTGAGACTCAGCATTTCCCTCCCAGCCACCCAGCTTTTTGATGGCACCTGTGGGAGAGACTCAGCTAAGTGTTTTCCCTCAGAATATCCAATCTCAGGAAGCTCAAGGTTTTGGAAGAAAACAGGGGTGAGTTTGGGGTTATGCAGCTTATCTGTCTTTGCATTTTCATTCATTCCATCTCACATCTGGTGGATGCTCAGTAGACAGTTGTGATTCATAGTTACACATCAACAAGTGCCAGAGAGTTACTGGTACAGAGTCCTTTGGTTTTAAGCCCTGGCTGTAATGGAGAGATTATTTCTACATCAGGCAATATAGACTTTTCATCCAAGTCAAAGCTTAAATGTTGGTATTTTATATGAGAAATGGAATCTATATGAACTCTTCTGCCCTGGATACTGATGTGCAGTGACTTACATTATTGAATGTTAGGATGAAATAAAACCAATTTCTTTAAAAAGAAGTAGTAGTATAATTCTGGCATCTCAGGTATCTTTCAGAACAGGCATATTAATCCTGTTAATCATTTCCTTTGAAGACACGTATATCATTTGTAGTCATGGCTGAGCTCTCATTTTCCAAAGAGATAATATGCACCTTGCTTGGAATACCATCTACAGAGAAAATATAGAAAGGTTATGCTTTCATTAGTATATTTCTAAATCTGCATATTGAGATATGTGAAATATCCTAAATTTTCTTTAGGAAATATGTAGAGTTGCTTATTTTATGTCGTATTTTGCCTTTATCTATATTTGTTACAGCTAAGAATCAGTTTCCTTCTCTGAATAACCATTCCTAAACCAACCACCCTTAAATCTCAGCTCATATAAATGAGGAGAGAGAAATGTTGTCATTTATTCCCTATGGTATTTCTTTTCTTTCTTGTTTTCAATTAAGTGCTTTATTCTATTTTCATTTATAAGCTGGGGAGTCCTGTAAATGTTAAATAGGAACATCAGTTAAAACATTGTTTTGGCTGTGCACTGTGGCTGTAATTCCAGCACTCTGGGAGGCTAAGGCAGGAGGATCTCTTGAGCTTAGGAGTTCCAGTCCAGCCTGAGAAAGAGTGGGAGGATGTCTTGAGCTCAGGAGTTTGAGACCAGCCTGAGTAAGAGTGAGAACCGATCTCTACAAAAATTAGAAAAACTAGCTGGGTGTTTTGGGTATAGTCTCAGTTACTTGGGAAGCTGAGGCAGGAAAACAGCTTGACCCTAGGAATTTGAGGTTGTTGTGCACCACCACTGTACTGCAGCCTGGGTAACAGAGCAAGGCCTCGTCTAAGAGGTTATTTGGGATAACTGAGGCTCACCCAGAGCTAGTTCACTTGCTTCTGTCTGCTGCTTCTAAGCCAATATTCAAATTGTGTTTTATTTGACCAAAAAAAGAGGCTTTGTAACCCTTTTCTTCTTTTCCAGCCCTTCTGTTTTTGCTCTACCCGAAGCTAAGATGTCACTGAGAAACAAGCCAAGGGTCAATACTTCTGCACTGCAAAGAATTGCTGCTGATATGAGTGACCTGATAGGAAGCTTGGACTCACGGGAGCTCCACTTTGAGGGCGAGGAGGTGGAATATGATGCATCTTCTGGGGACCCCAGGGCACAGGAAGGTAAAGACTGGTGATCTGAGGAGGAAGAAAACAGTTTATCAGGGCCGGCTGGTAGAGCACAGATTTGATATAACCAGGAAATGATGGGCTTTCCTTACAGATATTGTATCATAACACTGGGGTGAGGTAGTTTCATAAGAGCCCTACTTGTCCTACAGTCTCTCAAAATGCCTGTTAAAGGCAAGTTATGCTAATATTACATGTTGTAATAACTTTGCTTACTTATTTTTCAGAGTATATCCCTTTCTCTGCTGTTTATAACACCCAGGGATTTAAGGAACCCAACATACAGACGTATCTCTCCGGCTGTCCAATAAAGGCACAAGTTCTGGAAGTGGAGCGTTTCACGTCCACGACAAGGGTCTGAGTCTGCGGCCTCTGCTTTTATTTGTCAGGGATTATGGATTGTGCATTGCTGTATTCCCTTCTTGGGTTTTGTTTGTTTATTTCTCTGTCACTTCTAAGTCCTTATCGCCTCCCAGGCCTTGCTTCTTTCCATTTAATCTTTATTCTCAGACTCCTCATCTTCTATCCTGGATAATACTCTTTCCTTTTAAATACATTTAAGGCAATTTCAGTTTAATAAGTTGCAAAGAGCCTCTCCTAATCTCTCTCTCTCGCTGATTTTCTGTTCCATGTTCCAGCGTTCTTAAGCATGTTCATCCTGCCTAGAATGGCAGGTACAAGTCTAGGGACAGTTCAGTTTTTCTAACTCTTGTTTAGCAAGAAAATGTTAGTGTTACCTGGCTCCTAATAGAAAAAAAAGAAAGAAAGAAAGAAAAAGCAAAAGCCAGGCTGCTGTCTTGGCCCGCACCATCACCTGAGAGAACTGCTGGCATGCTCTGCCTCTCTCACTTTGGGCCCCAGCCTTTAGTCCTCATCCAAATATTTTTTCCACTGAACACTGAAAGGGCTTTCGAGTAAACTCTCCAACAAGCACAGCCATGCCCTCTGCAATGGACTGGAGTAGGAGAAGCTGTTGGGTAGTTGCCTTTGCTCTGCCCCTGCCTGGATTTTGCACTTGTCAGTTCTGGAGGTGGGAATGTTGCTGCAGTGTGGTGGCCTGTGTCCCTTTAGGGTAGGCTCTAGCCTGGCTGAATGAGGCCACTGCTGGCCTCTGCCTCAGGGGAAACGTGGTTAATGACCTCCTGCCTTCCTTTCTGCTTTGCCGCCTTGTCCTGTGGAGGGTGGCCTGTGTGGCCCTGTTTTACTGATGGCTTTGCATGGGGCTGTGTCCTGCCCTTCCCATGCAGGCACTGACTCCTAGTCACACCCACCTTGGTGGGTGGCCTTTGTTTTCGTCTTTTTCTAAGAGTTGTGTCTACCATACACCACTGAGCACAACTCAGCCAGAAAGGTCTTTAAAGTGACCTCTGTCTTCTTATTTTGCCACCCAGGTTTTAGATGGAGAGGTAGAAAGGTGTGAGGTTAAATGCATGGACTACAGAACATGACACTGTGGTTTAATTATTATCTTTGCCTTGTGATCTTGAGCAAGTTACTTAACCCCTCTGATTCTCAGCTTCCTTATCTGAATAATGAGTATAATAGTGCTTACCTGATAGGTTTGTTATGGAGGATTTAATAATAATAGTAAGTAGTGGTATATTGTATAGATATGTACTATGAGGATTTGATAGAAACATGGAGCATCACATTACACAAGTGTGCTCTGCAACACTAACACCGCCCAGTGCCTCAGGTTAGGGGCTGGTGTATGGCGAGGCAGGACCTTGAAATGGTACGAAAGTAGAGACATGGAAGGGAGGAGGCATGGCATGCTGTTTGTGGAGGACAAAAGGGCCAACATGGTGTTCCCAGCATCCCTTACCTCCTGCTGCTCTGTGATTCCCCATCAATTGCCTGTTTACTCCTTGTGTTTGTGGACTGGACCCTGAAGGCTAATTAGGGTCTCCACTCACTGTCTCCTTAGCCTGGTTTCTAGTTTCAGGTGTGTGTGTGGGGGAGTGTTTTGGAGGGATAGGCTTTGTAGTAGTTTGTCTGATGTGATTCAAAGTTTGTCTTATGTAATTTATCCTCTTAAAAGGATATTATTTCTGTAATCAGGTGTTTCTGAAAAAAATTGCTTCAGTACTTACATAAAATGAGTAAGCTAGACTTAAATATACTTCTGTGTTGCTGATTAATTAACTTGTTCATCGAGAGCTTTGGAATTTTTGTAGTAATCTAAAGTATCCACTGTTTTTTATTTATCACTGTAGGTACCAAGTATCAATCTTTACACCATTGAATTAACACATGGGGAATTTACATGGCAAGTTAAGAGGAAATTCAAGCACTTTCAAGAATTTCACAGAGAGCTGCTTAAGTACAAAGCGTTTATCCGAATTCCCCTTCCCACGAGAAGGTAACCATTTCAGAATTAACGTAGTGTTATTGTAATAGACGGTGTGTTTCATTCATGGTATAGTCTAGTCCATTGTTGGCGAGTATTTTTAATTAAATGGGCTCTTTTAAATATAAGGCATATCATGGAAGATGTTACAAGAATCATATTCAAGGAATATTCTAATATGTTTGTTTTAGACACACATTCAGAAGACAGAATGTTAAAGGGGAGGAACCCCGGGAGATGCCCAGTTTGCCTCGTTCATCTGAAAACAGGATCAGGGAAGAACAGTTCTTTGGTAGGAGGGTAAGTCTTCTCCCTCCTCTTCTGCTGTGCAGTGACTTTGCAGCTCTGGGGAGCCATGTCCTCTGTCGGCAATGAAGGGGATCCGGCTGCCACTTCTTCGCACTACTCAGGCATCAGGCTGTTTAGCTTTCCTGGAACTTGTTAGGCATCCTCTTCTTCCCCAAGCCACTGAGAGATGGCATTTCTCTAGGAGAGGAAGAGTGTTCTTTGTGAGAACTTAGGTTATGAAGAAGCTGCCTTCTTGCTGAAACCTTTCTGGGCTTGTTGTGAGTCAAAGATTGAATTCATGTTGTGGGCATCGAGATCTTTCTTTAAAACATGCATTTCCATATATTTGCTTTAGTATTTGTAGGGTTTTGTGTTGAATATATGTAAAATCCCATTCCTAGACTGTGCATGGGCAGTCATGTGGGGGACACAGCACTAGGACAGAAGGCATGAGGGGGTGGGGGACACAGATCTGTCTGCTCTGCTTCAGTAACAGGAGCTAGGTTGGGTGGAAATTTTTTTATTTTTACTAGAAAATTAAGAAGTAATTTGTTAATTTTTGTCATTTCTATTTTGTAATCTGAAACTTTCATGCTCCAGAGGGCATGTTTGACATCTTCTCTGTGGCTGTCATCTTTTTTCAAAGTCTTTTCAGGGGTTTGGAAGAAATATTTTCCATAATATTTGAACGTATGAAATGATACAGTTTGGGTCACTGTGTACAGGGATATTGTTGTGCTGGGAATGAGTATGGCTGTTACAGCAGTGAGTCAGCAAAGGGAAGCTGACATCAGGGTCCACACGATGCTTCTGTTGCTCTGCAGCCCCAGCCCTGTACTCCTCCTCCACTTCAACATATTTAATATCTGATACATTTTACTAGAAAATTTTGTACCTTTAATCCTTCCCTCTTTTTCCTGAAAAGCTGTTTATAAAATTAGTGTACCTGCCAGTAAATTTGACGTTAGAATAGAAAAAATTATAAGATTTTTACAAAATCAACAAATGCTTTAAAACTACCTGCTATGGGCAAATCTGGCTCTAACAGATGGAAGATTAAAAGAATATAAAGCTCCAGGCTTGTTAGCAGTTCTTTGTACCCAACCATGTGCAAAGTTAAATATCAAGAAGAGATTTAAATAACTGCAAGAGAACTATGGAAATCACACCCTAAGACTATTCAGGATTCCTTTCCTAGTGACCATATCAATCAATAATTAAAAAACTTACAGAAGTGAAGATGAAGTGATGATCTCATTAATATCATTACTATTTAAGTTTTTTAATACATTGACCATATTAACTGTTTTCTAAAATATTTGCATTACAGAAACAACTAGAAGATTACTTGACAAAGATCCTAAAAATGCCCATGTATAGAAACTATCATGCCACAGTAAGTACTCGGGAGGGATTTGACTGTGAAGTGATCTGTAATGTAGTGAACTGGCAGCTAATTTTGGATCATTTTATTAACATAAGTGATTGTATCCACATCTCGAATTAAAATAAATTAAATGAATACAAAATTGATTTTCCAGCAAGGAATCAGTTATGGTGATATGATTCTATTTTACAATTTTTGAATTTATACCATTGTCTATGATGGCAGATTTAAATGAATTTCAAATCTCCTTATAGGTTAGATTATCTAGAAATCAGCCCTCTTCTCCCTTCTGGCTTCCAGAATAATGCCAAAAAAGCATTTCTAGATTCAAAGAACAATGTTGAGCAGTAAGTTATAAAAATAGTTTGGAGAGAGTTGAACGCCTAAGGGATGTGTGGCAAGTGGTTGCCATCTGACTGGCCTGTGATGCCAGTAAAAGGCTTGGGTTTTTTTAAATTGTTTTTTTTTTTTGTCTTTTTTGACAGTGTCTTGCTCTGTTGCCTAGGGTAGTGGTGTCCTCATAGCTCACTGCAACCTCAAATTCCTGGGCTCCAGGAATTCTCCTAAGCCCTGTTCTTTCCTTTTCTTTCTTTCTTTCTTTCTTTCTTTCTTTTTTTTTTTTTTGGACACAGAGTCTCTCTATGTCACTCTCCGTAGAGTGCTGTGGGGTCACAGCTCACAGCAACCTCCAACTCTTGGGCTTAAGCTATTCTCTTGCCTCAGCCTCCCAAGTAGCTGGGACTATATGCTCCCACCACAGTGCCCTGCTATTTTATTGTTGCATTTGTTTATTTGGCCTGGGCCAGGGGGTTCCAACCCACCATTCTTGGCGTATGTGGCTGGCACCATAACTACTGTGCTATAGGCACTGAGCCTAAGCCCTGTATTTTCATGTGAAAGTGAGGAGCATGGGAAAATCTAGGGAAAAGAAAAACTTTGAGAAATCTGAGACAAGAGAAAAGAGGTGACAGGGTTTAGAAGCAGCCGCAGAGATTAAGCTTGGGAGGAAGGCAGCTGGAAAGCAGGAAGGTGTGGACTCTGCAGTGTCAGCAGTGTTCTGCCCTATTTCCTCCTAGAGGCCTTTGAATGAAGGAGTGGTGGGTGGGGACTGTTTTTAAAGGGTTAGTCTTCAATTATCCAGAGGGCTGGGTAACTGAGAATGCACCAGTTCAGGGGTTTCCAGCCTGTAGCCCCATGGGTGGCCTGCCAGGCTGACGTTGCCAGGATTTTTTTTTTTTGCTTATCTGTAGTGTTGGATATTAGGAAGTGTAGATACTTTTTTTTTGTTAGTGAATGTTTGTGTTTGTGTATTTAATATGTGACCCAAAGCAATTCTTCTTATTCTAACGTTCAGCAGAGAAAAAAGAAAGGTTGGCTGTACTAGATTAGTATGTTTGTGTCTGTGTTCGTGTAGCTGGTGTCCCAGGTTTCCTCAGTGTGTGTGCAGAGCTCGGGAGCTGGTACAGCTGTGACCTGGAGAGAGGGCAGCACATGAACACATGGAGGGAGATGGAGACCTCAGGGCCCTGGTTGTGCTGGGTCTGTTGCCCCGCAGCACTATTAATATCTGGCAGCAGGTCCAGATGTGCCTCTGGCCAGCCCCCTCACACACAGCTGACCTGTGTCCGGCTGATACCCACCTTCCTCTGGCCGGCCCCCTCACACACAGCTGACCTGCGTCCGGCTGATACCCACCTTCCTCTGGCCGGCCCCCTCATACACAGCTGACCTGCATCTGCTGATGCCTGCCTTCTGCAGCAGCATGTGTTGAAGGGTCATTCAAGGGACTCAAAGGACCTTCAGTGGCTTCATAATCTTAAAAAGAAGTTTTCTCAGAATACCAGGAATTTTGGTTCAAGAGGATCTCAAGAGAAGGATGACCGGAGGTGTTTCCTCCCTTCTAGGATGCAGGAACTCACGTCCTGTGGACGTGACTTGCTGACGAAGGATGTTACTGCTGGTAGTTTTTAAAATGCTGCCTCCTGTCAGAGGAGCTAATATTTATGGAGGGCTTAGGTCTATGCTTGGCACACAGTGCTACGTGATGTTTTCTTTAGTTACTGTAGTTAGTAATGCTATTACAATTCCTAAATGCGTGCCTTTTTTTTTTTTTTTTTGAGACAGGGTTAGAATGTAATGGCATCATCACAGCTCACAGCAACCTCAAACTCTTGGCCCAAGCGATCCTTCTGTCTCAACCTCCCAAGTATCTGGGACTACAGGTGCCTGCCATCACACCCAGCTATATTTTCTCTTTTTTGAAGAGACTGGGCTTTGTTATGTTGCTCAGACTGGTATCAAACTCCAGCCTTAAGTGATCTTCCCATCCCAACTTCCCAAAGTGCTGGGATTATAAGCATGAGCCACCATGCCTGGGCCAGACATATATTTTTAGTAGAAAACATTTAATCTTTTTCTGAAAATTTTCTAATTTTTATTAATAATTAAGCATTTTAATTATGTAGCTGAATTTAACATTATAGGACAATAATCTATTAGCAAAAAACCAGCTACCTTGGCCAGGTGTGGTGGTTCATGCCTGTAGCCTCTAGCACTCTGGGAGGCTAAGATGGGAGGATTGCCTGAGTTCATGAGTTGAGACCAGCCTAAACAAGAGTGAGACGTTGCCTCTCTACTAAAAATAGAAAAATTAGCAGGGTGTGATGGCAGGGGCTTGTAGTCCCAGCTGTGGGGCTGGCTGAGGCAGGATTGCTTGAATCCAAGAGTTTCAGGCAGCTGTGAAGTAGGCTGACAGCAGGGCACTGCTCTAGCTCGGGGCAACAGAGTGAGACGCTTGTCTCAAAAAAAGAAAAATAGCTACCTTATGTATTTTATTCTCAGAATATTGAGATGGTAGCAATGGGACTATAATAAAAGAAACACTTTAAAATTAACCCCAAATACCAATAATAAAAGCAAATGATATTCTTTACTCCTGACAGCAGATGACAAAAAAAACAAATTTCTTAAAAAGAAAAACAAAAATGCTGCCTCCTGAAATCCAACATGCTATTTTCTTTAATAGAGAATGATTTAAATGTGATTTAAAATGATTTAATGTGTTCTAGTACACATAAGCAATAATTATCATTCTCTTTTACTTTCCTTCCTTCCTGTGACTTGACTTTTATTATTTTGGCTTTAGAACAATACTTGGGGAGTTTACGCTTTGCTTTCCCTGTACACTATTACATTTTGTAGTTTAATGTTGACTAAAGAATGGTTACATTATTAAAATGGTCACAATGTTAAAATTACATTGCCAGTCATAAAAATATTTTCAAAGTTAAGCCATATTGTATTTGGAAATTCCCAGCTTCCTTATAAATATTTCCTTTGGACAGGAAAGCCTCATTAGCAACTGCCTGAATAGATTATTCTCCTCATTTTTGATGGCTACTGAGATCTCTAAAAAGCTGAATTCTCCACTGATTCAAGCATAAGATACAAATTGATACATATTAATTCTCTAACATTATTTTTCCTTTAATACTAAAAGTACTTGATCTCATGTTTGTGAAATTAGATTGGCATCTGTGTATTTTCTTCAATAATGGTCAGAAATATTAAAAATCCCATCTGTAAGAGGCCTATTAAGAAGTTATTTTTACATAGGCACAGTTCATACATTTATACTTTATAATTATAAACCAACCCTATTTTTCTTGAACAGGTAGAATCACTGATCATAGGTCAAGGGTCTGGATAGGATGTGACCTTAATCTCTGTGGGACCATCCAGATCTGTACTTGGAATATATACTTTTACCAAACAGCTCAGGTGGTTCTTACTATTAAGAGAGTATGAGAAATGTTATGGTCAGCTTAGAGATGCCGGTAAAGCTTGACCACTTTAAAAAGTGGAGATGGATTTTATTATTGCAGTATTTGTTCTTGGAAGGAGTTGGGTTTAGACTTCAAAGCACAGACTGCTTGTTTTTCTCAAATGACTTTTTAAAAATTAAATCATAGCTGTGTACATTAATACAGTCATGGGGTACAGTGTGCTGTTTTTATGTACAATTTGAAAAATTTTCATCAAACTGGTTAACATAGCCTTCATGTCATTTTCTTAGTTATTGTGTTAAGGCATTTATATTCTATTTTTAGAAAGATTCACATGTACCCTTGTAAGATAAACCATTAGACATGAACAGTTCTCTCCTCTCACTTTTCTGTTGTCTTTAGTGGGGTTTGTACTCAGACAGCTATCTTTTCTTCCAGGATTACAAAGACTTCCTCTGTTTTTAATTCCTTTTTTCTTTCTTGTGGTTCTGAGAGTATCCAGGTGCTTTAGTGTATCTAGCATCAGACAGTTTCTTCAGTGATTATTAATAACTCATTCAGTTTTCTTTGCTTCTTTGTAAAATTGAGGCAAATGTATTTCACCTTTTTCCTCTAAGCATAAATATGTAAAAGAAATAGCAATATCTGAGTTGTATAAAAATATAAATAATCTAAAATAGGAATTATGTTTGTTTTCTGAAATTGAATTAGTTCTGGCTGCAGTAAAGAACCCACCAGTGAGGCATTTTAATTAGTAACTGGAAAATGCTTATCCTTCAGGGAATTGAAAGGAAGAGAAATGAGTAATAGTAAATATACATTTTTTTCTTACTTAGGATTAATATCTAGAAGTGGAACAAAATGCAAAATGTCCAAGAGAAGGGCTGTAAGCTGATAGGATCATATCCCTGATTTGAAGTAAATAATTTAACTCCCTCTGATGACCCCCATTCCTTCTTCCAGCTTGAAATAAATCTTAGATACAGCATCCTATGCATTAAGGATAGTGAGTTTGCCTCACCCTTGTTTTGTGGGATGAAAAATTTAGGATTTGTAAACATATTTAAGTTCTTTTGAATTTTAAAGATCTACTTTCCCTAAATAACCCTAAAAAAGTGAAAGAAATGCAGTTCAGTGCCTGTAGCTCAAGTAGCTTAAGGCGCCAGCCACATACCCCAGAGCTGGCAGTTCAAATCCAGCCTGGGCCTGCCAAACAACAATGACAACTACAACCAAGAAATAGCTGGGCATTGTGGTGGGCACCTGTGGTCTCAGCTACTTGGGAGGCTGAGGCAAGAGAATTGCTTGAGCCCAGGTGTTGGAGGTTGCTGTGAGCTGTGATGCCACAGCACTCTACCTAGGGTGACAGCTTGAGGCTCTGTCTCAAAAAAAAAAAAAAAATGAAAGAAATGCAATCATTTAATTCAACCTCCCAGGAACTGACAGCTCTGAGATATTTGTAACTTTTTAAATAAAGTTAATAATTAGATATATCCAATCAAATATAAAACTTTGAAGGAAAACTTTTGTTTTCTCTCATTTTGTATGTGTAGATGAAATGTCTGCTCCTTGATGATGAGCAACTAGGAAGTGGTCACCTCTGGCAGCGCTATGACTCTGTGACCACCTTCCCTTGTGGCTGCTGTGGGTCTTCCCACAGAACTTTGCTGAGATGCATGTCTCCATGCTGTCTCCCCTCTACTTCCTGAGGGTGGGAGACTATCTTTTTTGTATTTATTCTGCTGTCAGTGCTGTTGGTGACATAGTCACATAGTCTAAAAACCACTGGAACGTCTGAAATTACAGAGAGCTGCTTTAAAATATCTGTATATTGGGAACAATAGAGTGTTTAACTTTAGTCTAATTGTTTCAGGAATTACTGAGGTAAAACTCCCGCACACCCTTAGCCTTGCATAATGTTGATTTGCTTTCCCTCCAACCCTCGCTGGTTAGAATATGCAAGGAATTTAGTTCAACTAAGATAAATACTGACTGTCTTTTTAAAAAAAAATTATTATTTATTTATTTTTATTGTTAGGGATTTTTTGAGGGTGCAAAGAATTAGGTTGGACTGATTGCATTTGTAGGTAAAGTCCCTCTTATAATTGTATCTATCTTTTTATTTTTGCAGCTTAGATGTGAGGCGTTGACTTGGTCTCCCTTTGTACTGAATCACTGTTTTGTTACTTAGGTCTTCCTGGAGAGTTTGGCTTCTCTGAACCAGGGATTGGCAAATAGGCAACTCTAATCGATTGGCTGCTTTTATATGTTCTGTGAACTAAGACTAGTTTTTACAATTTTACGTGGTTGAAAACATCATAATAAGAATAATATTTTGTGATAGATGAAAATTAGAATATATTCACATTGTGCCCCTAAACGTGGTTTTACTGGAGTGCAGCCATACTCCTTCATTTCTATGTGTCTGTGGCTGTTTTCATGCTGTAACAGTAGGGCTAGTTGTAACAGATACTGTCTGGCCTATAAAAGCCCAAAATATTTATTGTCTGACTCTTTGCAGAGAACTTTTACTTATCCCTGCTCAGTTTCTTCTTGTGTAGAAAAAATAAAATAGCAGCTGCTTCAAAGGAGTTTCAGAGAATTCATGAAAAATGCTTGGCCTGTAGCCAGGAGTGTTGTTATTATAATATTTATAGTTTTTAATCTTCTAGTGATTTATACAGTTAAGATCAACCTAAAATTCTCTTCCTTTTCAACTCATTAAAAATAATTATTTCTGGGCGGCACCTGTGGCTCAGTGAGTAGGGCACTGGCCCTATATACTGAGGGCGGTGGGTTCAAACCTGGCCCTGGCAGAACTGCAAAAAAAAAAAAAAGAAAAAATAGCCAGGTGTTGTGGCAGGTGCCTGTAGTCCCAGCTACTGGGGAGGCTGAGGCAAGAGAATAGCCTAAGCCCAAGAACTGGAGGTTGCTGTGAGCTGTGTTGCCACAGTACTCTACTGAGGGTGATAAAGTGAGACTATCTCTACAAAAAAAAAAAAAAGAAAATATTTGTTATACATGATGTTCAAAGACCTCCTCAGTCTATTTTCTTTTCATTTTTTTATTAAGTCATTTGTACATAGATCATAAATACATTTATGCCATTATAGGATTCAATGTGTTGATTATTTGTATAAATTGGAATGCTTACATCCTACTAAACAATATAGCTTCACTACTTTTACCCAATTACAGGATTAAGACATTTATGCTCTACACCTGATAGATCCAACTTGTACTTGCAATATGCTCCATAGGTGTGGTCCCCTACCAACCCTCCCTCTATCGGCCCACCCTCCTCCTTTCCCCTTTCCCTCCCCTTCCCTCCTTCATCCTAGGCTATAGTTATGTTTCATTTTTCACATGCATGTGTGAGTGATTATAAATTGGTTTCACAGTAGTACTGAGTACTTTGAATATATATTTTTTCCATTCCTGAGATACTTTACTAAGAAGGATATTTTCCAGCTCCATCCATGTAAACATAAAAGAGATAAAGTCTTCGTTTTTTTTTTTTAATGCTGCATAGTATTCCATGGTATACATATACCACAATTTATTAATCCATTCATGGGTTGATGGGCACTTGGGCTTGTTCCATGACTTGGCAATAATGAATTGAGCTACAATGAATAATCTGGTGCATATATCTTTATTGCTAAATTATTTTTGGTCCTTTGGATATACACCTAGAAGAGGAATTGCAGGATCAAACAGCGGGTCTATATTTAGATCCCTGAGTGTTCTCCAAACTTCCTTCCAAAAGGAACGTACTAGCTTGCATTCCTACCAGCAGTGCAGAAGTGTTCCCTTTTCTCCACATCAGCGCCAACATCTGTAGTTTGGGGATTTTGTGATGTGGGCTACTCTTACTGGAGTTAGATGGTATCTCAGAGTAGTTTTGGTTTGCATTTCTCTGATGATTAATGATCAAAAATACATTACTGGGATCTGATCAAATTAAAAAGCTTCTGCACTGCCAAGAACACACTAAGTAAAGCAAATAGAAAGCCCTCAGAATGGGAGAGGATTTTTGCAAGTTATATATCTAACAAAGGTCTAATAACCAGAATCCACAGAGAACTCAAACTAATTACTTAAAAAAAACCCCAAAAACAAGTGATCCCATTTCATTGTGGGCAAGAGACATAACCAGAAACTTCTCTGAAGAAGATAGGCGCATGGTCTACAGACACATGAAAAAATGCTCAGTTACTTTTCAAGCTGCATTGCACTTAATTTCCATTACCCTCCTTCATCTTACTTACTGTAGTCCAACTGAATGCCCTTTGCTTTCTTAGACTGTCTATTCTATTCCTCTTTTATCTCTCTTCTTGAATTATTTTATTATTGCTGTGTATACTATGCCACACAACCCCTTCCCTTACAACAAAAGCAGACACAAAAGAATATTGGGAATAACCTCTCTTTGCACCCTTCTTCTTTCTGCATCTCAGAGCTCGCATCACTCCCTTTGGCGTGCCATAATTATTTACATGCTTCTGACGTGCACTCTTTCAGGGAAGGGCCATCATTACTGATCTGTGTAGTAAGCAGGGTACACCAGTGTTGACATGTAACTGTACTTAACAGATTTTTTAAGCAAATGTTTTAGTTTTCTCCTTTCTATAGTTGGATTTGGATTTTTTTTTTCTCTTTTCAGACAGAATTCCTTGATATAAGCCAATTGTCTTTCATCCATGATTTGGGACCAAAGGGCATGTAAGTTCCAAGGAAACATTAAAGAGAAATGTGAAAACCTGATCAGCATTAACATGTGATTTGGGAGCATGTCCTAGTGATGGGCCTCCCTGGCTTTGCTACCAGTTTCTCTTCTCCCTCATAGAGTCAGAGCAACTGAGGGGATCTGTCTGCATGAAACAGAGCATCTTCTACAATAAGCAGTGGTGGCAGCTGCTCCCTGGCTCAGTTGTGTGCTTGCTGCACAGGTCCCTCTAATCCAATATCCATAGCAAGTATGGTGTGAGACAAATGCATTAAAATCAGATATATAAGATCCCTTCTTCTTATCACTTATGAAAGTTAACTGTTTATCATTTATTTTGATGACTATTTAAAAATGATACTGTGTGAAATATATGTTGAGGAACCCCTAGAAATTTACTTAATCATTATTTTCCATCACAGTTTTAGAGGTTGATAATATAAAGAGTTTAACTTTTACATTTTTTGTTCTCTTTGTTTTATAAGGGCATTGACTAAAAAAAAATTTTTTTTTGAGACAGTATACTGTGTTGCCCAGTCTAGAGTGATGTGACCTTAGCCTTGCTAATAGCAACCTCAAACTCTTGGGCTCAAGTGATCCTTCTGCCTCAGCCTCCCTATCAGCTAGGACTACAAGTGCCTGCCACAATGCCTGGCTAGTTCTTTCTACTTTCAGTAGAGATGGGGTCTCGCTTTTGCTCTGGCTGGCTCAAAGGATCCACCAGCCTCGGCATTCCAGAGTGCTGGGATTAAAGCATGAGCCACTGCACCTGGCCTGTTCTTTAAGAGCATCAATAGTACTTGTTTCAAAAAGATTATCTTTTGTTATGCCATTTTTATTCCTTCTCCTTGTCCTATCTTTTGAAATCAAGATGTTACCATCTTCAAGGCCAGTGGCTTTGTTCTGGTTGCTAGAACTGTCTGTAAAGGCTGTGGCAGTGCCCATAGCATCTCAATAGCAGCTGAGCCGTGTCCCTGCAGATGTATGGAAACACATGGGGTCTTTTTCGGGTTGCCATAGTGACTGGAGGGAACACAGCAATTAGAGCCGGACCCAGGATGCCCAAGGTCCTGCACTGTACACAACAGAACTGTCCTGCTCCAGATGCCAAGATGTTCTAAGATGAGTTGCTGGAGTAGGTGAGGGTGCAAAAGAGATAGTGGGAATGACAGGGTTTATCAGTCACAAGTTGTGAGGCTGTACAAACAAAGTGAGACTTGGAAATTTGAAGATGATAGGTTAATTTGATGTCTCTTTCAGAGAAGGTATGATAATGAAAAGATCCGGGGGACACAGAATACCAGGCTTAAATTGCTGTGGTCAGGGAAGAGCCTGCTACAGATGGTCAAAAAGGTAGGACTTAATGACTTTGTGCATTTGTTTGTTTTGATAAACTGGGTATTTGGGAGAGTTTTACATAACAGTTTTTCAAAATTATAAATCTTTGAAATCCATGATAGAGAAAAATTTTATTTTAAAATCCAAGTTCTAGTATCCATTTATGTACAGTAATCTATCTAAGACTGGACTTGCAGACAGCATGTACAAATTATAGACATAGAAACCCAGTGGCAAAAAAAGATGGACAAATGGCCAATTGGCATACAAAAAGATGCTTGCCCTCACTAGTCATTAGGGAAATACAAATGAAATCCACTAGGATATAAGTTTATACCACAAGGATGGCTATAATATAAAAGATGGACAATAATAAATGTTGGAAATTGGAACCTCAGATATTGCTGGTAAAATGTAAAATGGTGTGGCTACTTTGGAAAATACCCTGGCAGTTCTTTATAATGTTAAACATGGAGTTATCATTTGCTCCAGCAATTCTACACTAAGTACACACCCGGGAGAACTGAAAAAATATGTCCACACCACAGCTTGTGCATAGGAAACAACTGGAATGCTCACTGAGTGATGAATAGATAAATGAAATCTATTATATCCATACAGTAAAATATTATTCAGCCATAAAAGGGAGAAGAATACTGATGGGTGTGGAGTTTCTTTCTGGGGGGTGAAAATGTTCTGAAATTAGATTGCAGTGATGGTTGCACAACTCTGAATATCCTAGAAACCATTGAATTGAATACTTTAACAGGTAAGTTGTGAGGTATGTAAATTGTATCTGAATAAAATTTTAAAATCTAAATTAAAAAGGGGATGAAGTACTGATACGTGCTATAATATGGATAAACTTTGAAAACATTATAAATTTTAAAAAGTCAGGAACAAAAAACTATATAATATATGGCTCCATTTATATTAATTTGTCCAGAGTAGACAAATCTGTAGAGACGGAAATAGATAAGGGGTTCCCAGGGCATAGGAGGAGGTTTCTTTTTGTTAATTTAATTCTGCTAGTGGGCATAGTATTGCTTTTTTGAGTATTGACAATATTCTCGAACTGTTAGGGATAGTTGTAATGGTTATACAACTTTATTATGAGTATAATAAAAACCATTGAACTAGACACTTCAAAAAACTAAAAGACAAGTAAAATTGGGCAGATTTCAGGGATAATTTTAGAGTTGCGTTTGTGAAAAATGTATGTCATGGCAAGTGTGTATAGACACCAAACCTTGTATCATATGTCTCACCCAACTAAAGAAAGGCTCCTTAAGGAGCTGTGTTCTTGTCTGATCCTTACCTATGTCTTCCAAGTCTTGTGCATGGTAAATAGTAACTGTTGTAATAATAAGGTGCTGGGATTTGGAAAAACCGTTAAAACACTATTAAGAAATCTACATGTAATATTTCCCCTAACTTGAAAATAAGTAAGTTTATATGAAAAGAAATAGCTGAAAATGTTAACAAATGGAAAAACATACCATGCTTATGGCTGGGAAGAATCAACATTGTTAAAATGTCAATACTACCCAAAGCAATATATAATTTTAATGCAATCCCC